AGCTATATCGCGACGTCTATTGTTATGCTTCAACGTAAATTCTCTGTTAGTGCCTTGCTATTCTATCATATTTTAAACTGCGGTCATACAACATTTATTATTCTGTAATATCATCCAAATCATGAATATAAAGGTAAATACAATGGCAATATTACAAATGTAACAAAATATGCACACCGTACCACTTTTAATTAGATGTTAAAGCACTAGTTTACAATCAGCATGTGTTAATGGCGTGAGTGCTTACACAAACGGCCTTATCCTGAAGAGAACGATTCAGTTGCACTGGTTCATTAATCGCAGTTGCACCTAGTCCCATTCACTCTCTTCAGGCTTTGTCATATTCCGAAACCTCGCTTGACGTTTACTTACCTTTTTTGTACAAAACATTAGGGCTAGGTGCGTTCCAAGATTCCACAGTTATATTTTGTTGTTACACTTAGTAAGCCAACAATGTGCGTAAATTTTAGCAGCTTATGTACATATATGTATATATACACATATATATATATTTATATATATAAAGTTCTGCGTACATACAGAGAATATGCTTTTAGTCTCCTTCCTTTCCTTTCATATTTTACACATACGTCCGCAGTCAATACGTAATGTGAGGAATAAAAGCACTTTTAAATTTTGTCTCGGTTCCTCTAGGTTAAATATTGTTGCTCAGTTAATTCTTTTACTTAACGACAATGATGCACATACCAAGTCAAGCCATAGACCTTTTTATGCCAGACAATAGCTTTAACCGCTGTCACTGTGCTAGAGTTTCGGTCTGTGATCTATTGTGCCTACAATTAAAGTGTGGTATAAATGTGTATATTATAAGGAGGGCTTGTTTACCGTTTTAAGCTAGTAAATAGGCAACGTTTGATATGAGATGAAACAGCCATTTACATTTCGTGTGTTCCAGCATGCGCTTACTGTAGTCAGGTTACTTCTTTTTTACAGATATACCATACCAACTGTTTGGAATATTCGTCGCCATTCAGCCTAAATATTTGACTGAACATTATTATCTACCGTCCGATAGTTGAGGCACTCAGCACGTTCTCATAATATAAATGACTCAGTTACGCCAACTCTTCTACAGGTAGTTCATTATTTCCTAACAAATAAACTTAAATTTTTAGCATCAAAAGTCGTTTGTTTTTGAAACGGTATCACACCGGTTGGAGCGACAATATTAGAAAACAGTCGGAACTGTCAGAAAGAGTTTACCAGCGAGAACATAAGTTTGGGGCTCATAACTATCATCCATTGCCCGTTGTGTTAGCCAAAGGAAACGGTAAGTATTTTAATAACATATTTCCAGGTATTTATGTGTGGGATGTCGAGGGTAACAAATATATGGATTTTCTTAGTGCGTATAGCTCCGTCAATCAAGGTCATTGTCATCCAAAGCTTGTGCAGACTCTAAAGGAACAAGCGGAAACTCTGACGTTAACTTCGCGGGCTTTCTACAATAATGTCCTTGGGGAATACGAGGAATACATTACTAAGTTATTTGGTTATGACAAGGTGTTGCCTATGAATACTGGTAAGATATTTACCCAATTATAAAATGATTTCCTTTTATGACGCATTAATGCAAAGTAGACGATTTGCTTCTTATTCTTGCACTATTTAACTTACAAGAATAGCATTAATATAAATTATTCCTTTCGCACTTTGAAACATGCTTAGCTTGGGTTTTTGAACATAAGTACTCATTCGTTAAGTACTTTTCTACTTAGCTACCTGGCTGCAAGTGAAATATGAGAATGATTTAACAAAAGGGCAAAGTGAGACGCTACTGAAATTCGAAAGTTGAACTGTGCCACCAAAGAAGCTTTATTATTACGCATTATTCCACTGCTTATACTGATACGCAGTTGGTTGGTTATTATATACGGACTGCATCTTAGCCATTATATGTTTCGCAATTAACTGCTTTGCGTGCCTTTGCAGATAAGACGTTTAAGTGAACACACGACCACTAGTAAGGAGAACGTGTACAGCTATTCAGTGGTTAAAACACGCATTCACACAATTTAAGCATAACGTTTAACCGAAGGCATGATGGTATATTGCGTTCTCCGGAAAGTAATCATCTGGTAACTTTCAGACAACTTTTATCAAAAGCGGCAGAAAGCTGCCGTTACTTGATGTAAATAAATCAAGGAATGCTACCTATTTGCATTAGTTATGGTAGAAGTAAACACACGCGGTTAATAAATGATATATAATGCTGGAAAGCTTGAAAGGTTTAGGACAAGCACAAGTAAAAACACAAATTGTACGATATATTTTTGTTAAATTCGAACTTCATAATAAAGCATGCAAGAACAAATAGTCTTACAAGTGCGTTCAGTTCTCATGTAGTCCTCCCATACTAGTAGAATGGTAGTGGTTTCATTCCACTAAATTAAAACGCTTTGTTTCAAAATTGTGGCAGTTCTTTTATCATAAAATCTCGTCAAAATTGGTACCTTATGCAAAGTGTACCGATCACGTAGATTCTCAAGGTTAATTGCTATAAATTTTTATATTCAAGCATAACTTATTGCAGTACGGCTTTAATGAAATCGTGATTCCACTGCTTGCGGCTAATTGCGAATATGCGTTTTGCTGCGTACGGGTTCAATGCAAATGAGCGATTTTCTATAAAACTAACATTCCAGTTATATAGCAAAAGCAATGCGTTCCTAGGAAGTTACTAACATGCAAAATTCTAATAAATTTGTCAACTAAGACTATAGGTAGGCACCATCATTACACATTATCTGGCTGTAAGCAACACACTTTAGCTAATGTGTTGAATACAAAATATTAAACATTATAGACTACAACAACCAAAAAATTAAAATGAGACTATATATCGCATTATGCGTCGCGTATGAGATCGGGCTTTGTAGGAAGATTCTAGAGGCAGCGGCAATGTAACTTACATTAACAATGCCATGGTGGTTGGCACTGTGATAGCAACAACTCTCTCCAACCAGACGTGTTCATGGTTCTACAGACACCAGCTTTACCGGCGGGGACACAATCTTATAATTAGTTACTCATAGTTAACTGCAAGCAATGTACATTTACTTTTGTAAGTTATTTGATTGACACAAACCATGGACAGTATCAAAGCGCAGTTTCTCTGACTAGATTTTATGCTCTGACGATAAATAAAGCACGTAATACCTATATGATTATATTGTAAAATAACATTTATGGATAGTCTGCAGCGATAAAAACTAAATTTAAATAACGCCAATTTGCTTAGTAATGATATTTGTTCATCGGCTTAGTAATTAGTGGTATGGTTTTGTGAGGTTTTATTATGAACAAATCAAGATACAGAAGGTATTTTGTGCAGGATTTAGTAGACTCTCCGTAAGTTGGGTACTTCTGGGAGCAAACCAAGTCCATCAAAGTACTGTGGTCTGGATCCATTAATTTAACATTGTAATCTTTCAGGCAGTGCAAAGCTAAGACCGTGTTCGGAATATAGAGATGGTCAATTTTAAAGGTTTTACTTCCTATATCTATAGTATTTGACCAACAGTAGTGTATTGGACAGTCTCAACATATAGATACTTAATACTAAATGCTGGTTCGAAGCAGCGAGTATAGCTTTCTCCGCGTAGCGGCATCGTTCGTCGCTCTTGGACATATACTCCTTATTTATCGTTCCGCTCTCTATATTTTGCCTCTGCAAAGTGTTTTTCTAGGAGCTTCTTAAATTCGGACACTAAGTTCGCCCCTACCATGTGTTGTGGCAGGTCGTTCCAGACATTCACCACTTTGCGTTCGAAACAGAGTTGGTAAGCGACCCACTTCAACTTCGGTACGATAAGTTCATACCGGTGCCCTCGCGTGCAGCTTGGTGTGTGCAGACGAAGCAGTTGTCTTAACATGGGTAATCACTCAGATGTAATATTCGGTGCGTCGTAATGAGGTCAACCATCAGCTGACGATAAACTAGGGTGTACAACCCTAGTTTCTTACATCGGTCTTCGTATGACATACCTCGTAAGTTGGAAATCAGCCTGGTGGCTACATGCTGCACCCGCTCAAGTTTCCCTACCTCGCCCCGGGTTATGGGACAATACGCTGGAGAGCCGTACTCTAGCATTGATCATATATCGAGACAAAGAGGCGAGTAGCAATCATTTCGGACCAAGTGCTGAAGCTGCGCCTGACGGCCCAAGGCATCCGAAGGCTGCTTTGGTACAGCCTATTCGTGTTGTCAATGGACTTTAGGTCGAAGCGTGAGAGCACACTGAGGTCGCGCACGACAAGCGCGGGATTCAACGGTTTACCAGCCATTGTGTACGTTCGGCTGTGCTCACACTTGCCCAACCTCATAAATTGCGACTTGGCAGGGTTGCTCGGAAGATTAACCTCTGCTGACCATGTCAAAAGGCGGTCGAGGTCCTGTTGAAGTAAATCACAATCATTGAGTGTGCGGATTACTTTCCGCATCTTCAAGTCATCTGCGAACAACGCACAAGGTGATTGGAGTAACTGAGGCACATCGTTTACATGGATCAGAAACAATATCGGCTCCAGTACAGTGCCTTGGGGCACGCCGCTGCTCGATGGATGCCAATCAGTTAGATGGTTGTCCACCTGGACCCTCCACTTTGGATCAACAAGGAAATTTCTGATCGATTTGTGCAGTGAATCACCAACACCGCACATCCTCAGCCTGTCAAGGAGCACTGCATAGTTAACCTTGTCAAAAGCCTTACTGAAGTCAATGTAAATGACGTCGACCGATTGGTCTTGGTTCCGCGCTTGTAACTATTCGTGCCTCGTCAACAGCAGGTTGGTGATGCACGAGCGACCTTTCATGAAACCATGCTGTGCGGACGTCAACAGGTTCTTCGATTCGAGAATAGAAAAAAAGGTGCAAATATTCTAACAACATCGACAGCCTTAAAATCATACGTACGAGAGTAGGGTCTCACAACCGATCCACCGTTGTTCATCACGATTTATTAAAGCTATTCTGACCTAAGCAACGAATTATACTGCATCTAATCGCCACGATTTACATCACCAGGTAATAATAAATAATATTAATAGGATAAGGTGGTTGTAGGCAAACAGAATGCAAAAAATGAAATAAAGTAGGAGCTCTCTTCGATCGTAACAGAACAAACATTAACACTCAATCCTGCATGCAAGAATGCCACTGGTTGTTCAGTTGCGCCATGTCTGTTAGAGTCTATAAACTTTATGTGTACTATTCCAAGATCACTATCCAGGAAGACGGCATGCAATAGCCTGACGAAGATTATCAGTCAATTTCTTCCTGCAGTGTGCCACGTCACCGACTGGTCATTTTGCGGCTTTGCTTAACTTTGTGCAGCGAAGATGCATGATGCTCACCAAAGAAGACGGTCAGCGGGCATACTGGAAACTTTACTTGGCCAACTTAAGCGGTTCGAATTCAACAAACACTAATGAGGCACCGAAAGGCCAGTTTCCTAAGTGCAACTGGTGAACTTCAATATTTCTCACCCGGTGTTTCTACCAGTTGTGCGTATCCTTCTGACAACACATGCAGTCAAACACGGCCAAGCGTTTAATAACTTTACGATGTATTGCTCAGGTTACAATACCACTGACCTTATCGAAGAATCATACACCCTAACTTTCACTAACTGGTTGAGATCAGTCAGTGCTTATAGATGGTTAAGCTTTTAAAACTCACAATGGTCTTAACCATAAGCAAGATACCTTTCTTAGAGATGTGGCCACCGGAAGTGACCTGGTTAATAAGGCACTTAAAACACATTACTATTTTTATTGGTTATTTGCCGATAGCTAAAACCGGTGGCGCATTAGTTCAGTCTTGCAATAGTACTTTGCACTTGGAAGGTGTAAATTTTATACCAAAGCACGCAGCACTAAACATCAGCATGCCTTTCAATAGTGTGCCGTTAAGTGCAATACCTTAGCAGGTCTGCAGGTTTTTAGGTACTCTTGCTCGTTGTCGTTCCACACCCAACCCGGGAATTGATAACGCTAAACCGTGACTACCTTTGCTTTTACGCAGCTAGGTACTGCTTGCAGCCGAGGGTTTGGTGTGCAGATAGCGCAAGGGAAGGCAAAAGTTGACGTGGTATGCGATGCATGTGTGCAAGCCGCCGTGGTTTGTGAAATCAATTTATGCAACATATCAATAGGAGGAGTCCATCTGATTGGGGCGTTGTTTCAACGAAAGTCATAATCACTAATGGAATGATTCCACGCTTCACCAGCTGTACACAGAAGGAAACGCGTACCATAGGCAGACATCTCTGAACCTCATTTCTGAAAACAAACCGATTATTGTAACCATAGAGCAGAAGCGCTTTATATTTTGAGGTAGGGTTTGAAGTCACGTTGACTCTAAAAATTTTCTTATAATTACCAAAAGAAATAAAGCATTCGGAGCGCTAAAACAGTAATTATCCGTTAAGCCGCTGGTATTAATGACGACTTTGAGGTAAGCAAACTTGTCTACTGGTTTGTAAGGGTAATCTGAGATGGTCAGCAATAGAGTAGCTGCGAGTCGATCCTACTGGAAGAGTTTACTCTTCGATGTGGTATAGGTCTACTCGAACCATCAGACAGACACCTCCAGATTGCGCAGTGCAGCTTGGGGTTGAATAAACATCCTGCACTACACCGCTGTCGACTGCATACGTTAAATCTCCAAGTCGGCCCATTTAGCCGTTTAACGCCACTGAGTTCATAATCTTCCAAAGTCTGCTTCAGAATATCGCTAATAGGTATTCGATAATGAGGGACAATGCTAAGCAAGACTGTTCTACACCAGGAGTGAGGTAAAAGGCGATTCTTATTAGAAACTTTGGCTTTAGGTGGTTGTGAATCGTCTACGCATCAGGGAGGATTGTGGATCCTCGAATTTGAACTCCACTGCATGCAGGCCAATTGAACTACTTTTGATATGCTCATCCAAATGCACGAGTCAATGTTGCTGGTATTTAATTAACCAGCCAGTGAGTTTGCAAAACTTTTACCAACAGTTGCCATTTTTCCGCATGTGTTATTTAGTAAATAGGCTTCTGTGAGCCATGTTGCCACAGAAAATATTATCAAGTCTACCGCAATGTTATGAAACAGCATTTACTTGTCAAAGAACAAAGCATATACTAACCATTTTTCTATTTATCATAAGAAATCGCAATAACTTTGTAAGAAGTTATGTAAAAAACAAAAGTGACTATCTAATGACAATATTAATAGTAATATTAACAGTAACGCCTAAATTAACTTCCGGATGAATGGACATGAGACATTAATATGGGTAGGCTCAAAGCGTTTGGCTGATTACCTTGAAAGGCAATTTAATCGGTTGGAATTGTTTGATCTCTCGCCGGCCACTGATCGGCCCGTTCCCTGGACTGTACCTATTGATCCACGCTCTCGCTCAGAAGTCAAAAGTGAGAACGGACAGTTGAAGTTAAATAAAGCCGCGCGACCAGATGATCTTCTTCTAGCCCTATTCTAATTCGGGGGACCTACTCTTGTGGATGATTTACACGAATTAAAGGTAAAACTGTGGGAGTAGGATACTGTTCCAACCGACTAGAGCCGCTCCGTCATAGTCCCAATTTTCAAGGGAGGATCACGATCGGAATGGGGCAACCATAGAGGAATCTGTCTGCTCTTCATCGCCACTAAATTGCTTGCCTCTGTCATCCTTCACAGACTGACTGGCACTCGTGAAAGCCAGATTCGGGAAGAGCAAGCCGAGTTTCGTCGAGGTCGTGGCTGCATTGACCACATCTTTACTTTGCGTCAGTTGTTGGAGAACCGTCACACATATTGGCGGCCCAGTGTAGTCGTGTTCCTCGATATCAAATGTGCATTCGATTAGGTGGATAGACGTGCACTTTGGAACTGTCTACTCAGGAAGGGTGTGTCCGAAAAATATGTAAATATTATCCGAGCATTATACGCGCGTAGCTTGGGTAGAGTGAGGGCTTACGGCAAGCTGTCGTCGTCCTTTACTATCTCCAGTGGTGTGAGACAAGGATGCCCGCTGTCACCTTTCCTCTTCAACTTCGCTATTGATGAAGTCATGAAAATCGCGTTCACCGGACACGACTTAGAAGGTGTGCATCTGCTCCCAGGAGAACGACTTATTGTCTTAGAGTATGCGGACGATATTGCCCTAAGCTGTGACAGCTCCCAGACGTGCCAAGTGGCATTGCACAGATTAGAACTGGCTGTCAGCCGCTTTAAGCTTTGCTTTGCACCATCGAAGTGCAAAGCGTTCCTCCAATATTGGCCTGGACCGCCTTCACTGACCCTTATTGGGGATCAACTAGAAGTTGTTCGGAAATTCAACTACCTGGGAAGTTGTATCAGCGCCCGTGGGATGGAAGATGAGATCACGAACCGTATAGCAAAAGCTCGAGGCGCTTTTGCTAACCTTCACCACTTATGGAGCCGGCGCGACACCACTCTCGCCCTGAAGGGTAGAGTGTACAATGCAGCAGTATGTTCGACCCTGCTGTACGGTTGTGAAACCTGGCCGCTTAAAGCAGCGGACCTGAAGAGGCTAGCTACGTTCGACCATCGGTGCCTTCGTACTTTAGCTCACATCTGGTGGGAACACCGCGTGAGTAACGAGCGTGTCCGACGCCTTGTTTATGGCACAGGAAAAGGAACTGAACCGCTCAGCACCGTTATTTCACGCACCAGGCTCCGATGGCTCGGCCGCGTGTTACGCATGCCAGCCCACCGACTCCCGCGACGTGCATTATTTGCTCCCCGGGGGTGTGGATGGAAGAAGAGGAGGGGTGGCCAAGCGATGACTTGGTCCAGAGGAATGAAGGCCCTCACTTCTGAGTTGGCCTCGGTTGGAGCGTCTCGGCTCCCTGGTTGGGGTCCGAAAGACGATGAACACGTTTGGTTGGACACACTTGCTGACATGGCTAGGAGCCGACCTCAGTAGTGTTCGTGCTGTGAGTTTCTTTGTCCCACCCCAACCCTGTTAGCCTCCCCCTCCAACCACGATCTCATTATTTAACATTTTATAATTTTGCATAGGGAATTACTTTTTTGCTGCATAGTAGCCGGCTGGTAGCTTACCGGAACGATGCCCATTCGTTACCGTATCTCAGCTGTCTTACACCTGTTTCATTTTATTCCCTTTTTTCTTTTAGGTATTGCGGCACCGTAGCTGAGGTGTTTCCTACCTCTTGCTAATGTATATAGTGTGTGTGTGTGTGACCGCCAATTGAGATGGATTGTGAATATGCTATGCTTAGCCTATTTTTACTGACGTATTATGCAATGTTCTACGCTTCGCCGCTTTCTCAAATACCAGCGACAATGTAATGTCAATTTCTACCACTCCGTGAAAATGGTGTTAAGGTGCATTTGCTAAAACACGGTTCCACTTATAGCTGTATAATTTCATTTGAACACTATACGATAACCACTTTCATTCTACTCCCAAGTTCTCTGTTTTTCTAGCATGTCTAACTGATTGAACATCTCGAAAACGCTTTTTGGAACTAATTTGTAAAACCAACAAATGTCTATCCTTTACGATCTGGTTGTACCACGTAATCTGAAGACCTAGTGGAACTGTATCTCACACAGTCGAGAAATATACCACTCAAATAGAACGAGTGATTGTGGCCAGCGGTCAGAAAGTAAACTCATCGCACAGAGTGTCTATTGTTCACCGGGCTGTTTAGCAGCGAGTAACCAGAGTTCAGTAGTTTGGCTTACAAACTAGGTCAACCCCAAGTGATGAGTTAGTTAAAGACTGACAAGCCACGCACATAATTTTACACAGGCTCTAAAAATGTAGTACGCAAGCTTTGAAATTCTTTTGTTGATCAGAAAATCACTGAATACTTAGACGCTTGGCTTGGTATATTCTGTATAACGATACTGAAACTTTTATTAAACTGTCAGCCATTAATTTGGTATTTTACTAGCTGGTCGTATTATCATTATTCTTAAGTCGGTTTGGGCATCTATCGATAGTACCCTTACCAAGACCAGTTTGCTCAGTGGACCACTCTTCCTTGAGTACCCATGAAGTTTATCATTTATGGTAACTCATCGTTGGGGATGTCGTTTCATCAGCATGCCGAAAAGTAGTGTTTGGGAAATGTTATACAGCATTTTACTATGCTCATTTCTGTGGCCTAACAGTGTGCTATGAACTAGATCATTCGCTTATTGTCCCTAAACGACGCACTTGGTGGTTGCCAGAATAGAAAATAATAGGAATAAAGGGCAAAACAAATGAGAAATATTCATTGCTACAAGTTTTGTGATCGAATAACTAGTCTATCATTATGCGATTGATGGATTTTATTTACGCTATTTTACTGCAAATTCAATACGGCCCGGGTTTAATGATAATATTTTGTAAGATGTGTTTCCTTTTGGTCGGCCTAGCATGGGATGGTCGCTGATTATATACCTGCATTTCCTTACTAGGACTGTGTCCAATCCTGCGTATTGCACTACCGAGGTATTTCATCAGAGTTCGAACAGCATAAACGATGTACTCTATCTTTTGTGTTATGATAAAATGACGCACCAGAACTCTAGATGCTCTCCTTCCCGTTAATCGAGTTTGTTTATGCGGTTAAACTTACCTCCCCATCGCGAGATTCCTCAAGCAATTCCTGATTTACTTGAGTGATGGGAGATGAATGTTAACATTGCGTCAAAATAGTGAAGAGAAATGATGCCTGTTTTTATGTTATAAATCGGACCCTAGTTGACGAAATGAAAGAAGCCAAGCTATTTGACTAGCATTTATTTTTACAACTCTGTATAGGTAAACTTAAACATTGTAATTGAAACACATGCTCCAAGTGGTACATAAATCTTGCTGCTGATATAAGTCACTAGTGTACCGTTTCAGGATTAATTTGGCTGGCACAATATCGAGCACTGGTTTGTGGACCTCCATGCGAGTAAAGCGGAATCCATACTGCAATTTGATAAGATGGTTAAAGGACGATGCTACGCTGTTTCTTCCACTGGACTGTTTTGAGTTCCTCGCTAGCCCTTTAGTTGAAACAACTCTACCACATGCTCGCAAACAATATTTTGACTAGTTCTACATATATTTTGGCCCTCAATACATTTTCAAAATCATATATATATATATATATATATTCTTTCTCCCAAGTGATTGGCTGTTGCTTGAGATCCCCGGTACGGCTGCGCTTGTTGTGCATGTTGACAAGGTACCTACCTGTCTGTTACCCACTACCTCGTCCATACTGGCTCTAGGAGACAGCTAATCGTTGCTGAAGGGGACTGAATGCACGGTCCTTGTGGTCGTGTTGAGTGGTTCCATGCACTCAGTGTGTAGCAAACTACGGTCCAGCCACCGCCTTGTGTGCGATTGATTCCAAAATACAGCGTGCTTGTGTTTGTCTGTGAAAGAGTGTGGGCCGGCTCCGTTGATGAAACGTGGCCCCATCCACATGCCTTCCGGTCTTATTCCTTCGGGTTTACACTGGATATGGGGTGTGTGGATGGAGCTTTGGATGTTGCAGCGCAAGCCACCCATGGTTCCTTTGTACGTGCAGGCGTCCTGTGGCTGGCCACAGTGACAGGCAAATCCGAAACCGGATGCCGCCAACCATATATAACCCACCTGCGTCTGGCCTTGGTCGCAGGTGTATCCTACTACGGTCGCAAATCGTATATGAACCGTTCCAGTACCTCAAGGACTGCGTATGACGTATGTCAAGCAGATCCCAATCTGTTTCTGCAATCTCATTCCCGAGCTAGATCTGCTCCCCACTGCCTTCTAAATCAGGTTCTTGAACGAAAGGCTCCGGGTGGAGTCTTCCAAGCAAACCTCCGAAGCACAGCCGCCACCTCGCGTGCGATTGCTCGCCAATGCAATCATATGCCCGAGCGCAAAGCACTCAACATCGGGTGATGGAACATGCATATATCACTGAGCCGGAACTCGAGTGAACGCCCTGAGCGACGCACTGCACTGGTCACGATGGAACTGGCGCGTTACAAGCCCGATATTGTGGCGCTCAGTGAAACCCGATTAGCTGAGCAAGGTAAGTTGCATGAAGCTGGTGCTGGTTATACGTTCTACTGGGTTGTCAACGCCACCTTAGCACCACGTGAACATACGATCGGATTGGCAATATCCGATCTCCTAAAGGGCCAGCTGGTGGATGAATCAACAGGCATCAGCGCGCGACCGATGACTGTTCGCTTACGCCTCGGATGAGGTAACTTTGCCACCTTTATCCTGACACGCGTGATCAATTCTACACTCAGCTATCCTCCGTGATACGGTCTGTGCCGAGGAGCGACCGACTATTGCTGCTGGGTGATTTCAACGCGCGCGTTGGGCGTGATGCATCGGTGTGGACAGATGTTATCGGTCCGCATGACATTGGTTCAGCGAATGCGAACCGTGACAGGCTGCTTTCACTGTGTGCCAATCAAAGGCCTGACGGTTATAAACACTCGGTTTGCACTGCGTGCGAGTGATTTAGCGACTTTGACGCACCCACGGAGTGGTCACGCTCACCTGCTCGACTATGTCATCGTACGTCAGCGTGATATGCATGAAGGTGCGCATGACACGTATACTGCGTGGAGCTGAGTGTGGCACTGATCACAAATTTGTGCACACCAAACTGTACATGTATTTTCGTAAATCTATGTATTGCACTCCCGCCGCGAATCGGCGTAAATTTAACCTTCTCTCCGTCGGTACTGTGGCGAAACTTATTGAGCTGGAGAAGTCGATGGCTGCACGCCTGTGTGACGTGGACTGCATAACCACAATGGGCGACCTGTGGCACCACATTCACGATCAGCTGACAGCTGCTGCCGAGGAGACCATCGGACGCGCAAACTGTAAGCGGCATGGTTGGTTTGATGAGAACAATGTGACGATCGGCGCATTGGTGTCGGAGAAGAATACAGCATTTGCTGCACATGTTGCAGATCCCAGCGACTTGGGGAAGAGGAGTCAGTTTCGCAAAGTTCGACAGCGACTGACCCGAGAGCTCCGTCGCATTAAAAATGCATGGTAGATGGAGAAGGCGTAGCAGATGGAATGCTACGCCAAACGCCGCCAACACAAGCAATTCGTTGACTCATTGAAGGCGGTGTGTGGACTGAGATTGGAGTCGCTGAGGACGCTGATTGATGTTAGTTCATACGCTATCTGCACACAGACTGCAGACATAATGCAGATTTGGCCAAAACAGTTTAGCTATCT